TTTTCTTATGCAACCTGGCCCACCTGCCCGGGGTGGCACCACCCACAGTGGGCTGGGCCGTCCCACATCACTCATCAAGAGGATACCCTTCAGACATGGCCACAGGCCAGTCCAATAGAGGAAATTTCCCGACTGAGGCTCCCTCAACCTGGGTGTGTCAAGTTGACACTAAAGCTATCCAGCACATGGTGTTACATCAGAGATATATGCTCATATATAAGGGATTGGTGCTAAAATCTGCAAATGAGGGAGAACATATGTCAGTTGCTTTTTAGAGTCTGTGTTGCTTCACTTATTACAATAGTTTCTAGTTCCATCTATTTACCAACAAATTTTGTAATTTCATCTTTCCTTACCTCTGAGTTGAACTCCATTCTCTAAATGTTTTCATTATCCATTCATCAGTTGAGGGATATTTAGGCTGTTTCCATTTGTTAACTCATGTGCAAAGAGCAATAACAAACATGTATGTACAGGTATCTCTACAGTAGGATGAGTCCTTTGGGTATATGCCAAGGAGTCGTATAACTGGATCATGTTGTAGGTTCATTTTTAGTTTTTGAAGAGTTCTCCACACTGCTTTCCATAGAGGTTGTGTGAATTTGCATTCCCTCCAGGTGTGAATGAGCATTCCGTTTCTCCACATCCTCACCAGCATTTGGTGTCTTCTCTTGATCTTACCCAATCTCACTAGGGTAAGATGAAATCTTAAAGTGGTTTTTAACCTGTTTTTCTCTACTTACTAAGGATGTTAAGCACTTCTTAAGGTGTTTCATAGCCATTTTTATTTCTTGGTTTGAGAACTCTGTTCAAGTCCTTAGTCCTTGTTTTTATTGGGTCGTGTTTGTTTGTTTCTTTGGTTTTTGAGTGCTTTGTATATTCTAGATATAAATCCTTTGTCATATATGTAGCAGGTGAATTTTTCTCCCATTCAGTGGTTTTCCTCTTCATTTCCTTGGTTGTTTCTATTGCTGTACAGAAGCTTTTTAGTTCAATGAGATCCTAATTGATGATTGTTGACTCTAATGCCTGAGAAACTGGTATCCAATTGAGAAATTCCTTTCCTACACCTGTATCTTGTCAAGTACTACCTATGTTTTCTTCTAGCAGCTTTAGAGTTTCAGATTTCATATTGAAGTCTTTGATCCATTTGGAGCTGAATTTTGTGCAGGGTCAAAGATAAGGGTCCAGTTTCATTCTTCTATAGATGAAGATGGTTTTGCTAGCATCATTTGTTAAGATGCTATCTTTTCTCCATTGTGTGTTCTTCACACCTTTGTCAAATATCAGGTGGCTAAAATTGCAAGCACTCATATTTGGGTCTTCTCTTATGTTTCATTGATCTATGTGTCTATTTTGTGCCAACAAAATGCTGTTTTTATAACTAAAACTCTGTAATATAGTTTGAGATCTGGTATGGCGAGACCTCCAGCATTGCTCTTTTAGCCCAAGATTGCTTTGGCTATCCAGGGTCTTTTGTGATTCCATGTGAATTTTAGGGTGATTCTTTCTAGCTCTTTGAAGAATGACATGGGGATTTTGACTGGCATCACATTTAATCTATAGATTGCTTTTGGTAGGATTGTCATTTTCACAATGTTAATTCTACCAATCCTTGTGCATGGGAGGTCCTCCATATCCTGTTGTCTTAGTCTATCTCTTTCATTAAATATTTAGAATTTTCATTGTAAATAGCTTTAATATCTTTGGTTAGGTTTATTCCTAGATTTTTTTGGTGGGGGGCTATTGTGAATGGGAGGATTTTCATTAATTCTTTCTCTGATTGCGTGTCCTTGGTATATAGAAAGGCTAATGGTTTTTTAAGGTGATTTCATAACCTGCCACTTGGCTGAGAGTATTGATCATTTCTAGCAGTTTTTGGGTGGAATTATTGGGATTTCTTATGTATAATATCGTATCTTCTACAAATAGTGATAATTTGACCTTCTCTTTTCCAATCAGTGCTCCTTTAATTTTCTTGTCTTGTCTTATTGCTCTAGAAAGAGTTTGAAGCACCATTTTGAAAAGGAGTGGAAAGAGTGGACAGCCTTGTCTGGTTCCTGATTTTAATGGGAATGCTTCCAGTTTTTCTCTATTTAGAGTGATGTTTGCCATGAGTTTGCTTTAATTATGTTTAGGTATGTTTCCTCCAGTCCAATTCCCTCTAGGACTTCTAACGTGAACGCATGTTGGATTTTTTCTAAGGCTTTTTCTGCATCTATTGAGATGACAATGTGAGTTTTGCCTTTCATTACATTTATATGATTTGTTACATTTTTTGACTCATGTATATTGAGCCATCCTTGCATCTCTGTAATAATGGTGACTTGCTCATTTAGGAGGATCTTTGTGCTGTGTGTCTGGATGAAGTTTGCATGTACTTTGTTGTGAATCTTTGGATCTGTATTCATTAAATTTATAGTTTTCTTTTTTGTTGTGTCTTTACCTGGTTTGGGTATTAGAATGACACTGGATTCATAGAAGGAATTTGTGTGTTCTCCCTCTGTTTCTGTCTTTTTGAATAGTTTAATA